CAGTATATATTATATACTTAATACTAAGTATATAAGTATTTGTAGAACTAAAATGTTTTGAGCCAGGCTCGGTGGCTCAGCCTGTAATCCCGCACCTTGGGAGGCTGAGGTGAGTGGATTGCTTGCGCCTGCGGGCTCGAGACCCGCCTGGGCAACTTGGCAAGACCTCATCTCTACAGTAAATAAAAAAAATTATCCGGGTGTGGTAGCGCGCGCCTATAGTTCCAGCGACTTGGAAGGCTGAGGCGGAAGGATCGCTGGAGCCCAGCAGGTCGAGGCTGTGGTGGCGGGGAGCAGCCACTGCACTCCAGTGTGGGTGACAGAGTGAGACTCCAACTCAGAAAAAAAAAATGTTTTGAGATCTGCTTTCCTAAAGTCTAGGAAAACATTTCTGGAGAATATATTGCATGCTCAGGGCTGAGGAGGGTGTGAGGTGAGTCAAACCCAGCCCTATTCATGTGAGGGGCCAGACTGGTGGATAGGTGATAAGGAAGCAGGTTTTCATGTTAAGGAATGCCCCGAAGGGACCCCTCACCGACCTGGGGTCCTAGAGAAGGCAGCCACTGAGCTAAGTCTTACATGATGAGCAGAAACTAGGTGAAAGTAGAGACAAAGGGTGAATCAGGGAATCGTGGGCAGGGCCAGGATGGAGGGGAGTATGGCAGGGAGAGCTGGGGATAGCAGGAATAATCAGGGGTACCAAGAAGGGCTCCAGTGGTGGAGGGCCTTGGAGACAAATTAAGGAATTCACGCTTTCATCCTGAGTCCGGAGTAGGAGCCATTGGAGAGTTTGAAACCAGGAAGTCCTATGGTCCATCTGCTTTTCGGTGGTCCTTTCTAGAACAATACTCAGGAGGTGGCAAGTGGAGGCTGAGTGACTCATTGGATGCAAGAAGGAGGGAGATGCGTCAGGTATGGTTCTACATTCTGGGAGCATGGTGGTGGAAATGCCCCAAAATGTACCCCTTCTCTCCCCCCCAGCATTGAATTCTTACCCCCAAAGGTTTCAGGATGATGCACTGTGGCGGCCTTTGTGTTTGTTGGCTTTTTGGAATAAGAGCTCTGCTTCCTCGACCGTAGCCAACATCTTTTGGATGCTACCTCCTGTCCAGAGACCTGTTGCCCCCACGCCCACTGCCTGCCACGAGCTTGAGCCCAGCAGCCACATCTACCCCACCTAATGCTGTCACCTTGTGTAGACCCTGGTAGACTGGAGAACACTGCCTTCAGTTGGAACCATTAGTTCTTCCTGCTGGATTTAGAATGTAGCCTGTGATGCTCATGGGACTCATATTAGGCCACCTGGGAGAACAAGTAGACTCAGATTGACAGGATTATCCCTCTCTGCCACATTGGACAGGGAAGTCTGCAGGGAAGGCTGACAGGCAGTGGGGAAAGGCCTTGGCCCAGAGAGGGGTCCCAAGACAGAAGCAGTAGGTACCTGATGGATTTCCCGTTCCAGGCTCTAGACCCTTCTGAGGCCCCTTGGACGACAACAATACCCTTCTCCCTGTAATAAATTCTCACTTTTCAAATCCTTTGGCTAGCCTAATTGGGTTTTTGATTCTTGATAGCAAAAGGGCTAAGTCAATAGGTGTGCCCTAGCCTCAATGACCTGATAAATGGGTCTTTGTCCCCTTGGTTTGGTTTAGGACCCAGTCCCAGGGCAGGGCATGGACAGCAAAGGCAAGAAAGAAGAGGAGCCAGTTTTCTTGCCTGCTGTTTTCTTGAGAACTTCTGACATCTTCTCCCCTCTGTTCTCAGCAGGGTTGCACATGAGGCAGCCAGGGGCCCAAGTGCTTTCTGGAGAGCAGAGCCTCTCCCTTTGTTCATGTCTCCATCTTTATTCCCTCCTTCCCCACCTCAGGGTTATGGGGCTTGGGAAGCAAGAAACTTCTGGATATGTGTGAGCACATGGTCCCAGGAAGTGTTCCCGGGGGTAACCAGGAGCAGTTTATCCCAGGTCAACCAAATAATTTCCCACAGAGGGCAGAGGGTCCCAAGGGTCAGCAGGAACAGAGAAGTGCAGGTGTGCCCCGAAAGGTGTGAAGAAAAAGGGGGGTTAGAACAGGACAACTCTTGATCCCTTCCCATGCTTCCAGAAAACCCCAGCCTTGCACTTGCTAGCCCTAGGCCCTTAGAGGCGGCCCCGGGGGGATCCCAGAGTGTGAGCTGACCCACATGCAACTCCTCTCCAAGGAGTACCCTTGTGGCAGCAGCTTCATGGCTTACTCTGCCCAGTGCCGTCTGGGCCCTGAGCTCTGCCTACTCTTTCAGGCAGGCCTAGGGGTAGGAGGAGGTGGGGGCTGATCGGTTAGTCTGATGATGATTGTTCCACCGGGATCCTGAAGGGACGCAGACCTGTGTCATTGACTCCTGGCTTGACTGCTGACTCAGGAAAGTCCGATCTTCCCCGCCTCAATTTCTCCATCTGTCAAATAGGCAGATTTAGCATCTTCGTCAACTTTCCAGCTTCAGACTGAGAAAGTGGCTTGGTATGTTTTTATTTTTTCTTGGGGATGTCTTACCTTCAAAGTAAAGTGTTTTTATTACAGACACTTACAAAAACAATACCAGTAGCCAACAATTGGCTTCATAGTTATAATAATTAAGGAAAGAGTGAGGGTGGGAGGGGAGCACAGGGGCCTGGGCTGCTTACTTCCCAAGTCCCCAAGGGTTTCTAGTCCTTCCCGGGGAGCTGGGGCCTAAATTCCTCCATCACTAGCACACCCAAGTCAGAAAGTCAAAAACGCCTGCCTGGCAATTACTAATTGCATTATAGATGTATCTTACCAAGCCAGGCAAGGGCTGGCTATGTCCATCCTGCTGGTGACGGGGCTAGTTAGAAAGGGACCGCATGGGAGTCATTCTTCCAACAACTTTACTTGGAGGAGGAGGGAGAACAGAGGAGCAGAGAGGCTCTGGAGGGACCAGCCCTTCCTGATGACAGCCTCCTGGGGGCCTGGAGCCTCCGGCACAGATGCCAGGCTCAGGTGAGCCCCTTGGGGACTTGGGAAGTAAGGCAGAAAGGTTGTGGGCGGTGCGGGGTGGGCATGGCCTGCATGGAGTGTCCAGGCACAGCAACAGGCAGAGGGGTCGGGGCCTCCCTCCACATGCAGGGGCTGGACCTCTAAGGAAGAGCTGGCCCTGGACCCTCCCTGGGGTCCACAGCTTGTTCCCACTGGCCCTGGGTCACCATTCCTCATGGCAATCCTGGTCCTCATCTCTGAATCACCCTTTCATGAGGCCCCATTTCCTGTCTGCACCCTATTATTAGCTGACCTGTGCCTTCTACCACCATGTACTCTTGTCAGGGGCTCTGAGAAAGCCGTAGGGGCAGCCACAGGGGGCTACAAGCTCTGCTGCAGGCCCAGCCCTGACTCAAATTCAAGGCACCCCTGAGTCTCTCACCTGCCCAAACCAACCCTGCGCTATTACCCCAGGCCGATCTTGGAGGGTCCTAGGGGCCACAGACCCAGCCCCTCCTCCAAGGCTCCCATTCGGCGGGGGGGGGGTGGGGGGTGGGCAAAGAGCTGCCATG